ACACCTCATGACACGTTGTGATGTCTCCAGGTATGGGTTTCTTCAGTACGCGGTATAAATATTGCCAAGACGTCAAGTCATATTCGTCCATGCCAAATCTACGGTTGAACGCCCGAACAAGCGCCTCCTTGAAGAGCTGCCGCTTTTCGTTTTTCAAGTTATTATCCCAGCCGAGCAAGCGGGATAGGCGATTGAACTCGTCCCATGCAGGTTGAGTATGGTCATAAATGAATTCTTCTGATGAATAGGCGGCAAAGTAGATATCGAGATAGGCAGCTGCTGTCTCAGCCTAGTTTAACGTAAGTTTATATGAGTTTATATTGAACAATCGATGGTTGTACTTACCATTGGGTGGGACCAGTGCCAGCGACGATAGAATAGTTGAACAGCTTAACAGAGCTTAACGCTTCTTGTTCACACGTGGTTGTGTGTCTGTGGGCGTCGTGTGATAGTGGCTGGGAAATCCGTGGTCCACGAGAAGCCTTTATAGAAGAAGGTAGTGGGTGTAATGCGGAGAGCTGTCACGGGACAACCAAGAACAACAATTGAATAGCACCTCTCATGAGTAGTAGCCTAGACCAAACCAAAACATGCCCATGTCATATCCTTATTTTTTTCGAACAACCATATAATAGTTGAATAATAAATATACATTCGAACGACACGGTGATATTTGTTATTCAACTATTAGGTGGCAAAAATAATAAATATGAGAGCGAGCACTCGAACCTTCTAGGTCTCCAGCGCTCAGCCCAAGAACTCGCCATAACTGGCCACATAAGACGCCTTCAGTATTCTTTGATCATAGTGAAGCATCTATCCAGCGTTTCCCTTTGGTGTATGTTGCATGTTTTGAGTTGCTCAAGTACTTTGTCACGGTTCTGGATAGGAAGATCCTTTCTCGGAGTAATTACATGCATCTGCACCGGAGACGGAGAACTTCAGTATGTTTCATCAGACCACCGAAGCAGAAGCAACACACCAAGTTTATTGGTATCTATCCCCAGGCTCCTACTATTCATACAACCAAATACTCGTCCGTCGTAACCACCGCATCCACCGAGAATTCCGGATCCTCACCACCCGCAATCTTACTAACACTCGCAACGCCGACACCAGCCAAGCTTCCCTGACCCGCGAAGGTTACCTGCACAGGGAAGAACGCACCCGGGTCGTCGCCCCCAACCGCGAAGATGATGGAGCCAGAGCGTGAGTCATCTGACGCGGAGACCTGGGGGATCGACCATGCCAGCGAGTGAGAACCCGGATCCAGGGACCATTCTCCCGAATGCGACGAAACAGTGGGGTAGGAGCCGGTTCTTCGAGGTTAGTCAGATAGAATTTTGAGGGGCAGGTGTGAAGGCAGGACACGTACGGGAGGGGGATGGAGATGACAACGTCATAGAGTGTGACGTTTTCATTCTCGAGTTCGTACTCGATGCTAACCTCGCACGTGCCGTCGTTGGACGGCGAGGGCCAGCAGTTAACTTTTCTTCGTTAGTTCAAAGTATATTAGGCGAGGTGGGAGACAGCTCACTGGAGAGGGGAACGTTACTCTCATCTGTGCCAGCGTATCTCCACTTGAGTACCGCGAGGCTTTGTCCGACAGGGAACGCGCGCGAAGGATCCTTGAGAGCAACCACTCGTTCCTGGCCTGGCACGAACTTGGCGACGTTAGGGTGCTGTTTGAACTGAAGGCTGTTTCCGCCGAAGTCTGTGGAGGGCGAAGAGAGGGCTATTCGGAGATGTGCATGGGCTGCGTCAGAGATCTGTAGGTTCATGTCGCCCTTGACTTCCATAGACTCAACACCCCCATCTCGCAGGAGCGATAAGGAGATCTGCTCCCTGATAACAATGTGAACGCTATGAAAATGTTGAATACCACTTCAGATGAGGTTAGATGAGCAATTGATCACCTCTCCGCCTCGACTTCAGGCACGCTTCCCCGTCCGTCATGCTTCTGAACAGGCGATGGTTGTGACGACACGGTGGGCGTCGGTGGCGCGGAAATCTCCAAAGATGCCACACTTGATGCCAGCACATCGCCACCCAGAGCATCAAGAAGTTCCGCCTGCTTCGTTTTCTTTGAGCCCAGTTTCATACCGGAGCCCTTGAAGGCTGGGGCACGGGTAGCTGGCGCGGATGTCGTGCGTGTGATAGGAGTGGGCGCCTCGGGCGCATCGAAACGCGGTACCGCGGAGTACCCAGACATACCACCGCCGAGATAGCTGCTACCTCCTCCAGTACCCGCTGTGCGCCTCTGTTGTTCCCTGCGTTGCATCTCCAGCTGCTTAGCGCGGCGCTTCAACTCCTCCTTCGCCTCGGCTTCCTTGTTCTACAGTGGGATGAGCGATCAGGTAAAACTGGGTGAAGGCAAAGCACACCCGGGCGATGATCTCCTGGATCTTCTCTTCGTGACTCTCCATTTCCAGGATGCTCCGCACCTGCATGAGGTTGACCTGCTCCCTGTATCCCATGCTCACCACCTCGTCGAATGCTCCCAAGAGCTCAAACGCGTTCTTCTGGATCTCGCGTTCGTCTGCGCTGCGACACATATCCGAAACGACCCGTGCAAAGAGATGTAGTGTGTCGATGTCCTGCAATATATTTGATGCCTTGTTCGTTATCAGGAGAATATAGAGATCCTCTAGCGGTTGATAGACATAGCGCACATCTGCCGTCTCAACGGAGGTGTGCTGTGTATTTGTCGGGATAAGTTTTGGGAATGAGGCAAGGAGAGATTCGATCCGGGTCCGCGACATATCCCTGAATTGACGAGAAATGACAGCTTTTTTGGGCCTTTTCAGTGCGTGAACACATAGATGAAGATAACGCTCACGTTTCCCGCCTTTTGTGCATATCGAAGCTGCTAAGACGACCTGGTAATACCGTCAGATAAGACTTTCATTGTACAAATCCGAGCTCACCATCGTGTTTTAGTGGGGGAGAAGAGCACCAAGTTGTAATGAAGTATCAAGATTAATCTGGCCCGCTTATACTGGTCGTTGCAATGCCCCGACTTGAAAGTACGTGTCAAGAGCCTTCGGTAAGGGCAGGTCACTCGTGACATCATGTGACGAGGCGCGTCGCGACACCATTGCCATGGAGATTCAGAATTTCTTGGATATGTACTTTATCTTTAAGTTTAGACATTTACATAACTGATTTAAATCTAAAATATTATATAATTCATTCAAAGGCGTCCTAGGCGATCTAGAGGAGGCCTTCCAAAGCCATTCTGCACAGCAAAAATCAACATCATTACACGACCCCCAAGGTGGCGTACATACCGGAGCCTCTGGCTTGTTTTTCAAAATGTCCTCGATCTTTTGCATGATCTCATCCGTGAGACGTGGAAGCACTTCAACCGCCTTCAAGTTCTCCTTCAGCTGCTCGGCGCTCGATGCACCCAGAATCACGGTCGACGTGTTAGGGTTCTTTGCGACCCATGCAAGGGCCAGTGCGGTGGGAGTGGTCTGAAGCTCATCTGCAGCAAGCTTCGTGAGCTCGCGAACCTTGCGGATCTTCTCTTTGCCCTCTTCCTGCTGCAGACTTGCAACGGTGCCTTTGAACATAGCCGTAGTGGCGAAACGCGAGCCCTCGGGGATGCCGTCGTTGTACTTGCCTGTAAGTAGACCGCTGGCGAGGGAGGACCAGGTCGTCGTTCCGAGGCCGTATTTCCTGTACAAGGGGTCGTATTCCTTCTCGGGGCGCTCGCGATGGAACATGCTGTCATTGGCGTCCTCAGTGACAGAAAATTTTCCGGTTTGAAGTTACTTACTTGTGTTGACATTGCTCGGCGATAGGTCCCATAAGGTTCAGCTTCTCTGCGACATCTGAGAGAAAGATTAGTCAGACTATAAAATGTTTGCCGTCGTGCGTACGGAAGGCTTCCTCGATCTCGCGGGCACTCCACTCGGATGTAGCCCAGTAGAAAGCCTAATTACCGGTGAATGTGAGCATGATAACCTTCAAACCGTGTATATGTGACTTACCCAGCCTTTCTCGATAACGTAGTTGAACGCGCGTACAATCTCCTCCATAGGAACTGAGATTTCCATGAGTTCTTTCCTACTAAAATTTGTCCCAAGTACGCACCTGTGTGATCGGGACGGTGCGCGAAGAGAACATCGACGTATTCGACACCGAGGCGCGCGAGACTCTCCTGGGTACCTTCGATGATGCTGCGAGAACATTGAATGAGCTGAGAAATACAATAGATAGGTATATTATTACTCACTGCTTGCGCGAAAGACCACTATCGTTCGGGCCCTTGCGTAGACCCCAGTAGAGCTTGGTGGTGATGACAAGATCTGTGCGGCGTAGTCCAAGTTCTTTAATCACTCGGCCCCTGCCGTAAATCGGGTCAGCTCATGTAAGATTAGATATACCATGTCACCGTACATCTCGAGCTCCGATTTCCCGGCAGCATACACCTCAGCAGTATCGAACATGTTGATCCCAGCATCGAAGGCGGTCTTGATGATTTCCTAGAGAGCCCAAACATTTTCAGTGCCTCGTATAGATCGGAGGGGGATCGCGGACCTTGACAGGGTCACCTACGACGGAGCCACCAAGAGTCAGCCCTAAAATACGATAAGATAATCATCGTCAGCACCAGCCGGAAGATGATCGACCACTAGCTACCACTAGTTTGGCCAAGGCTTACATCCTCCCAGAGAGAATACAGGGACCCGCAGGCCGCTGGGCCCCAGGCGCCTGAAAGGCATGTTTTTGGCATCAAACTCGTGGAGTACAACTTGTTCGGTGCTCATCTTCTGCTACTGCGTGTAAGTAAGATGCGACTGCAGGGCAAGGGGGACTGGCGCGCGGCGTGGAACGGAAACTTGCTCCTTATAAATACTCTCGGTTGAGTTCGCATGGCGTAAAGGGGAGTATCTGATGGGCAGATCGACATCGGGAGCCCTTCGGTTGCTTACTTACCCGGGATTTGCTCTCTGGAGCTATATATGTATCTCATTTTGTAAATGCTCATAATGTCGGGTATGGTGTAACGGCTAACATTGCCGCCTCTCATCTTCCAGTGCGCGGCAGCTCGGGGTTCGATTCCCCGTACCCGAATATTTTAATATTAGCTCAAAGCATTTTGCGATGGCTTAAATTGAGCCCCCACGCTATTCTTTCGACAATATTTTCTTGACATGAGATAAATTTATTTTAGTACTGAACAAGAGGGTCAAATGTTTCTCTTAAAAAACAAAAGCCACAGTCGACATCGAAACGGCGGCTAGTTTAACCAATATAAAACCTTCAATACATGGGGAATTTTGGGTGTACTAGCCATCGTTAATTTCTCGCTCCTGCGAGTAAGTATTCAGACGTCGATCCCCTAAATATTCTGATTTTTTTCATGCAATTTTCTTTCTCGTAAAAAGATCGATCAACAAGCTTGAAAAGGCTGTGCAACGTGGCAATTGTGGCGCGAAAATCAAACAACTGTCATTTACTACTTTTGTGTCTCAACTATTTCGATGAACCCCTCTGAGCCCTCCTCACATTTCCCCCTCGAAATCATTGAATCTATTATAGATATAGTCCGTTTCGACAAGGAATCCCTCCAAAACTGTGCCCTTGTTTGCCGTTCGCTCACTTGTCGCAGCCAACGATGGCTCTTTGCTCGAGTAGAGCTCGAGTTTCCTCAACCCTCGCTTGATGCAGGTGCAGCTCACATCAAAAAATTTATTGAAATCCTAAAACCAGGGATTGCACGCTATATTGACCATCTGGCTATCATCAACTATGCCGACCATACTTCGCTCGGCGATGGAACATACTGCGGAGAGGAAAGATGTCTAGCTCAGATACTTCCGAAGCTTCAAAAGATTCAATCGTTTAGTATCTCCCTCGCTCATATCAAAGGGGATCCGCGATCCAATCGACTCTCCCCGGCTCTTGCATCCCTGTTGATCGCTACACTGGCTTCCACTGAAGCAGTAAAGGTCCACCTGGAAGATTTTCAAAGTTTTCCTGTGCCACTCCTTGCTTATCATTGCCCAAAAATCAAGCATCTTTCGATAGGTGAATGGGGTCCTTTTCGGAATGCAGAAGAGGTTCTGGAATTGGATTTACCCGGCTTTTCTTCTGAGCTCGGCTATCTGGAGACATTGTCCAGTATCGATGGCGTATCCTTTGTTCAAATTCTTCATAAGGCCACAAGGCGCTCAGGTGCCTGCCTCTCCTTGGAGCGCATCAAGGAAATTGATATTGAAGGCCTTCCGATTGAGATACTACAATTCGCGCTCAATGTATCAAAAGGACATTTGCGACGATTGACTTGCCTTTTCCGAAGTTACGGATGCCTACTTGTACATCTTCATTCCAGTGAGTGGCATTCTTGCGTTGTATGCAAATAGGAGAGCTAATAGAATCTCAATCGATTATAAGGCCCAACTCCGGGATCTTGCATCTTGCCACCTACCCTCCAATCATTGCGGATCGGCATTCGTGAGATAGAGAGCTCCACATTACATCTCAAGTGGCTTTGCAGTGCGCTCGAGGGTGGCGCATATCCGTCCTACCCCGGATACGAAATACCTGATGCCGTAACACTTTGGGACAGCTATGCCGAGGAATTTTCTGCTATGGACCACACACTCACCGGTGCCGGGTACCCCTATCTACGCCATAAGGACCCCCGAATGTCACCTAAAATCCCTGATCCTTCGTCAGGCAAAATTATGGAGTTTTTATCCTGACGTTTCTAGGCAATTTTTGGGCAATTCTTATCCGCCAAAAAATCAGCCTTTTCTACAGGTCAATTTTTATCCGCAAGTCTACATCAGGCATCAAATTTTTACCCTTTTTTTCTCCGCTGCGCGAGTAGCGTTCTATGAGCTTTCTGGGTATTTTCCAGTTCGTTGTAAAACCAATTTAGGCAAGATATCTCAAAAATATAGCAGGTGTGTGTCAGAAGAACATGATGGACAGACATCGGCCACATATTTGTGTCGAATTTTTAATGTCTTAACGTATTTTTGCTCTCTGGATCCCGTTTACACAGTTGAACATGTAGCTTATCAGTAAGTAGTGGCTCACGTCATGCCCTCAGCCGTGAAGTGCGTCAGTTCAAGCCTTGGCATAGCCTCATATTTTATCAATAATTTATCCGATGTGCACTCGGCCCTCCAATTCTGGCAGTTTTTATCCGGGAAAAATACTCAGGCATTTTAGCCAAAATCTGGGGATTCTTATCCAGACAGCCCTGTGGCATACCGCCCAAAATCGGCCAGTTTTTATCCGCACAAAAATCAGGGGTCCCAGGTGACATTCGGGGGTCCTACGCCATATCGCGATATTCGTTCAGTTCAGGAGACATCAGTTCAATAATGAAGAGTTCGATGGTGGAGCTGCTGAGGATAATATCCCTGTTCGTTATTTGGGGTCTTATGTTAGGGAGTTGAGTACTCGATTACCTTTCCTCTGCGCAAAAGGTATCCTGGATGTCCAGTGGTTTTTCAAGGAAGACAATAGCCGGAGGTCTCTCGATGTGGCAATAAAAGCCTTCGAGGAAGGCATAAAAAGGCCCTGTCTGCGTGTTTGCTGATGGTAGATTTAGAAATTTCCCTCAGTGAAACAATAAAAGTGCGAAAGTCATCGTTACTCGTGAGCAGCTACGTCTGTATAACAGGGTGGGAATGAGCAGTATCATAGTAAATGGGATTGAGCACAAGTTCGGACTTTGTGGAATATGAGAACCAAGCGGTCAATCATTGGGAGATACAGCAGTACTATAAATCATGAACCCCACAACGTACGATTTTTTGATTGCGAGAGCCATGACCCATGATCGAAAATCGACACAAATTCTTAAAGCTTGGACTGGAGGGTCACCTGAAACATCGGGGAGATCTTTTATCAGGAGGGTAATCTTCCTGCTTTAATTTTCGTCCCGGGATCCAGGGTTAGATCTACGATTGGTTGCTATGAGGAGTCTGAAAGCGGGAATTCTGGCCAAGGATCAAGTGCACAAGCCCTAAACGCCCAAGTTCGGCACAGACAAACGGTTTTTGTTACAACTTAGTAATATTGCCCCTGGTATACGATCATACTAAGCACATCCTAAAGTTCCAGGGGCAACGGTATTGTCGGAGTTGTCAAGGCTATTTTTTTAGCAATTAGGTATCGATTTCGATCTTTTTCGGGCATGTTGCATGTCACTAAAAGTCTGTTTAGATGCCGGGTGATGGCGAGGTACAAAGTTGAGCCACTCACTATGTTTTTTTGAAGCCCAGCTTCCATGCGGCTTCAAACGGAAGTCTGTGTCGCCGTATGAATATTACTTACGGGTTATATTTATATCGCTAGAGGGGTAAGAGATACGCGAGAAGGATCGCCACGCCGCTGGTTCGATTGTTTCGAAAGTCGAGTCAACCTTTTGTGCGCGGAAAACCGAGCATGATTATGGTCTGTTCGGTAGACCTTCACCTGGACCTGCATGCGCTAGTGGCAGTTGGAGGTATGATATACAACACGCCCCAGATAATATGTTTATTGTTCCGCCGAAATTGTGTTTGACCCCGACCCAGGTCCCAAGCAACCGAGGAAGGCGTGGGCAGTCAAGTCGCTTCAAAGTGGTTGTTTCGGGCACGCCTCTCAGCATGATAGGGCTGGAAGCCCTTCACTGGCAGGAAATTCTTAGCTTATCCATATCTTAATTCTACGAGTTAAAACTTACTAATTTACGATTCGCTACTGTCGTCGTTGATATGTACATTGTGAACCCTCGCTGAGGTCGATTTCCAGTATGTGGCACTATTTTGTTGAAGAAAGGCGCTTTGAGTTCTGGAATAATGAAATTCCCTTCTGGACAGCTCGCGATCACCTAGAATAGATCTTGGGAGCTGGGTGGCGTTAGATGACAACGTCCCAGCTGAAACCATCAAGATGGACGGTAGGTGCCCCTAATGTGTGCGCGAACTTGGATCCAGTAACATGTGTAAGAGAAAATTATAGTCGCCTCAGAGAAGGCACGAAGTAAAGTTTAATTGTCGATGACACACCTCACATTCAGCACAATCGATACCCCTCACGCCACACATGGATTTAGAGCGGACTCTCGTCTACGCATTGCAGTGCGCAGTAGGATGAATCTTGGGGATCCGAGAAAGTCTTCAGTAAGAACTGATCTGATGACAGAAGTGTGGGGTCCGCAGTCTCCGAAGGCTGTCAATGTCAAGCTTCTGGAAACGCGGTCGGCCATAGGCCGGGGAGAAAACGCTGAATGAATGCGATGAAGCTAAAACCTGGGCTGTGTCTGGTGAAATCGAAGAATAAGGCCGATGACTTTTAGTGAAATACTGGGCATTCGTGGAGAAAAATTGAAGTGAAGAGATACGGTTTTATGACAGCCGATATGGGCATCGTCGAACCGAAATCGGAGGTCGCAACATACCAGGAATAGTACAAGAGCTCAGATAGTGACATGAGCAACAGATATCAGACATCATGCGTCGAAAAATACAGGCAACGGCAGCTGTTGATGAGGGACGTGAGTTTGCAGAGTAATCCATCTGGGTACACAGGAAGGTAAGTTTCGTATCCAAAAACCATGACTGACACCATATGCGCATTCGAATTTCCTATCCAAGACCCAGGCTCTCGGCGCACACAGTGAGGCGGAGTTCGTTGAACGCGCCCAGTACGGCCTTGCGACGTCAAGTTGGACATGATCATGGAATGACCGTGGGTATATTGAAAAACAACACGGTGGGTGACATCAATGATTTTTTTCTCCGCTCATTGCCTGCTGCTCGACCTCGCCGCCTTATCGTTCTGGTTTCCCACCTGCATCGGATTACTTCCAAGTCACACCAGGATGAATTTGTTCTTCTTCACGCGTGATCGGAAGACAGGCGAAATCAGAACGCCTAGAAGGCCTTTATGACATGCCCGCCATGGTCGCAGACTTTGGTTTTATTCTGGAATTTGCAATTAGCACGCAACTTGCCGCGCTCGTCTAGGTCAGTCACTCTCACTATATATGTACGCTGGCTGAGCTCCCTGACCATCGAAGCGGCGAACAGGCCGCTAGCGTTGACAGTGCCCTTGGTCGCTGTCTATTT